CAAACCTGGCTCCCCAGTGAAAGCACTTGGAGGCACCCGTTCTACAAGCAAACCACCTGCCCAAAGAAACTCAGCTATATTCCTGGATCGAGGTGATTCAATGCACAGGTATCTCGGCATCCAAAGGACACACTCTCCTCCTGGCTCTTCTTTCTTGATCCCTCCTTGTGCGGTTGAAATGGCTCATTCTATACCCACAGGAGGGCAAAATCAATCAGCTCTCGTGTGAGCGTTCCCTGCTTTTACACTTACAATGAACCCTGTGGACTATCACTCACACTTGAATCATGTCATCTATCAGCATCTTCCCTGACCTTCTCTTGCCCAGACCCATCGAGAAAAAGTCATTTGACAGAATTTATAAAGACTATGACTAGCAGAGCCATATCAAGTAAATCATTCTAGTGATTGACACAAAGTGGGCTCCTGTGATAGCCTTATGCTTTCATGATCCATCCATGTTGAGTAGAACAATCTTTAAAGCTATAAATACATAGAAAAGTCAGTGCCATCAAAAACCCATTGAATGGGGGGGGGGGGAGGAAGTGGGTTTAGCAAGCCCAGGGAGAAGGGAACAAGTCATCTAAAATCGATGGTGAGGAGGGTGTAGGAGGCCCAGTAGGGGCAATGTAAGGGCAATGTAACCGTGAGGAATTACTGAAACCCAGATGAAGGCTAAACATGATAGTGGGACAGAGGAAAGTAAAAGGAACAAGAGGAAAGAACTAGGCAAAGGGCATTTATAGAGGTCTAAATACAGGCATGTACATATGTAAATATATTTTTATGTGACAATAGGGAAATAGATCTATGTACATATATTTATAGGTCTAGTATTAAGGTAGCAGATGGACATTGGGCTTCCACTCAAGTACTCCCTCAACACAAGAAAACTTTGTTCTAATAACCTGGCATTCTGTGATGCTCACCTTCTAGACAGGATTGATGAAGACAAAGTGGTTACATAAGCAAATGTGGTGAAGAAAGCTGATGGTGCCCGGCTATCAAAAGACATAGCATCTGGGGTCTTAAAGGCTTGAAGACAAACAAGCGGCCATCTAGCTGAGAAGCAACAAAGCCCACATGGAAGAAGCACACCAACCTGTGAAATATTTTTTAACAAAGCAATAATAGTTTAGTTTAATTCATTAAAAAAAAAAGTCTGCCTTGAGCACTGGGCTCTTTTAAAGAACTATCTGTCCAGGAACAAATTTGCAACAGCAGCTCTACCATTGAACAGGAAACGTAGGAGGCAGTGGGTTTGTGTTAACAGGGGAGGAACAACTCTGCAGAGGAAGACGCAACTGGTTGCATTAGAACAACACAACCAATCCTTCTGAACTTGAAATCTTGGAAGTGTTGAATTGGTGTGTGCCCTGCTGTTACAGCTCCTCACCAGCAATGATAGCAAGAGATCAATGATTAAAAATACGAGTGGGAGAAAAGTCTAGGGGGCACCGTTCTGCTCTCACACACATGGAGTTACCAGGGATTGGGACAGCAACTGGTTAGGATCATGGGGGAGCTGGGTGGATTCTCTGGGTACTGCCCAGGTCCTCTTGACTCAGCCAGGGCACCACCCCTGCCTGCTGTGGTGTTGTTATCCCAGAGTCCAAGTTGCTCCCACCAGCAAACTCCTAGGAGCCTAGCTTCTAAAGTGCAAGTCACGCCAGAGCTTCTCCTGGGACCAGGTTGAGGCCAATTTCCTCCTGAAGCACATTTTCACTGAGCATCTTCCGGGCCCCTAGCTCTTCTCCCTCACTCCCTTAATAACTCCTCTACACAAGAATTTCCCTGCAGGCTCTGCTTCCAGGGCTCTCATCTCTATGATACAAGCTCTCTGCCTTCCTGGTTTATCCTCCTGTGTTTTGTAAAACACTGTAAGGTGGGATATCTTAGAAGGACCATAGAAATCATTGTCCAAAATGTTGCCGTGGTAGTTATAAAATTGTTTGTCAATTTGAGAGGTATAAAAGTGAAGGGGTGGAGTATAGCCTGTCAATCAGATCATAGTCAACGCGGCCTCTGTGTCTGCATGGCCTTCCATTCTGGGAAGTCCTGTAGTCCTCCTTGGAGGCGGTAGACCCTCTCTCTCTACTGACTCCTTGCAAGACATTGCAGCTGACAAGACATGTGGAACTACGCAGTGCCCTGAGCTGGAGCAACCACGTGGAGACCCATTCGGCGTCATTGCATGTGTTTCATGAGTCAGAAGAGGACTTTGTAGATTGGTATCAGACATAAGGGCTAATATTGGACTTATGGACCTTGATCTGGACTGGGCGGGGATATTTTCTCAATAGTCAATTGCTCTTGTATATAAACCTCTATTTTAGACACTTGTGAGTGTCTGTGAATTTGTTTCTCACGTCTACCTGGACTAACCCAGTTGCTTAAGAAAAACCAACACGTTGTTTTCTCTGTTGGTGGTAAGACACTAGGACACAGAGCCCGGCATCCTGGCGTCACTCTACAAAATTAAGTCTTCTCTCAAAAGATGTATTTTTGCATGATCAGAGATGGGGGGAGTCACTGTAGAAGTAAAAGAAGAGGGAACCGTGGTGGTGCCATGCAGTCTGGCTAGCAATGAGTCTCCAAACTGTGGCTTAAACCAGTGTTTTCATCCACTCTCTGTGGACTTGGTGGTGTCGTTGGTGATACACTGAGCTGCTTACCGGAATGTCAGCCGTGGGGATGCACCAGCTGCTCCACTGGAGAAAGATAAGGCTGTGTGTGTGGTGCCGCCAAGATTGACAATCTCAGAAACACAAGGTGCAGTTCCACTCTGCCCTCTAGGGTCGGGGGTTGCCATCCTGGCAGGACATTCTTCTGAGGGATAGAAAGACTGTGGAGGTGGCCACCAGGATCTGACTTATGTTTAAAAATAACGACCTGAAGGAGTCCCAGGAAGCTTCTGAAGCTGGCCAGGCTCTGTTGGTTATCTCACCATTTCCAGATATTATTGGGCTGTATATTTATAATAGGAACAATTTTCTCTACTTATAATGTGAATAATTTTCTATATCACACTTCAATGGAAAGATATGTATCTTTACTTATGTATTTTTCCACCCTTCATAAATGTGCTTCTCTTCCACCACCATCATCCTCTTTCCCTCCCTTCCAATCATGTTCCCAGAAAGACGTTTGGCCATTGTCATAGCTTATGAAGTGGGGATGGGGGAATAGTACTGGCATCTAGTGCGTAGAGGCCAGAGATACTGCTAAACATCCTGCCTCGCACGGGACAGCTCCTTCAAACAAATTAAAAAAATTGTTAGGTGCCGTCGAGTCAGTTCCACCTCGTAGCGACCCTTTGTACAACAGAACAAAACACTGCCTGGTCCTGCACCATCCCCACAATTGTTGTTGTGTTTGCGCTTGTTGTTGCAGCCACTGTGTCAATCCATTTCCTCAGATGTCTACAGTGAACAGGAAAGGAAATCCTGTTCAACACAGAACGAATAGGTCTTGTCCACCCTCCCTAACTTTACAATCTTATCTCTTGCTTCATCTCCTAGAACAGAAAGCAAGAGACGGATTGAATCTGAAGAGGTCACTTTTCTGTCTGGTGACTCAGCCGTCTGTCACGCCTCATTGACCTCTGCTGGAAGACGGTAGGGTAAGGACCTCAGCAGGTGACTTTCCTTGTGAGAATTCTTGATTGTAGGTTGCCCTGTCTGTGTCCTTTGGAAGCTGGACACTCCCTGTCACCTGTGCCACCTTGCTTCCATGAGCCTGTTTCAGGGCCACTTCCATACTTTCATGCTGCCCTTTATGAGTGTATGAATGGTGCCAGGGACCAGGCTCTAACTTCTCTCCCTCACCAAGGGGTCCCCTTTCCCAGGGGCTGGCAGACTGTTTTTCTGTCAAGGGGCAGATATTAAACATATTTCACTTTGGGAGACATGAGGCCTATGGCCTGGGAGTCAGATGGGGCTTTCTGCTCTTATAAAGAGCTCCGGTCTCCGAAGCTCACAGGGGCAGTTCTATTCTGTCCTATAGGGTCGCTGTGAGTCAGCATCGACTGGATGTCAATGAGTTGTCAGTTTAGGCTTAGTTAGGAGCCCTGGTGGTCTAGTGGATTAAGCATAGTACTGTTGATACAAGGTCAAGGATAGCCGTTCAACCCATCTGGGGGTGGGGCGGGGAGCGAAGATGAGGCTGTGTTCTTCCATAAAGGTTTACCGTCTCAGAGACCCTAAGGAGCAGTTCGACTCAGTCCTATAGGGTCATTATGAGTTGGAATCTACTCAATGGCAGAGTTGTTACTGCTTTTTAATCCTCCCCACCCCCTTCTCCGTTATGGAGCAGATGTTTAGTTTACTAGCCACTAACCGAAAGGTTGGAGGTTTGGGTCCACTTAGATGCGGCTTGGACAAAAGGCCTGGCGGTCTACTTCCAAAAGATATATTAACCATCGAAAAACCCTGTTGGGGTGACGTTGAGTCAAAAGCAGCTGGAAGGTCTGTTTTTTTATTTTATTTGGGGTCTCAGTGGCTGAATCTGTAAAACAAGCCTCCTTCTCCCAGGGTTCTCACGAGGAATAAATGCACTTAGGAATCTTTAATGAGATAAACGGATTTTCCCAAAACCTGACCACACCCAGGCCAACTACAAAGGAGCAGGCCCTGGGGTAAGGCGGGGTGGTTCAGTATTTTTGAAGCTTCCTAGGAATTTCCAACGCGAGGACGAGTGTGGAAACCGATGGGTTAAAGCGCCGCGCGCGTGAATGCACTAGTTTTGAAGTTTTGGTGGATAATCCTGGAATCCCTGGGCCCAGACCCTCATTCCCGGTGCACCCGGCCCCTAGCCCTGGGAAGGGGGCCATTGGCCGCCGGAACTCGCAGTCCCTCTGGCTCGACGGCCCTGTTCCACCTCCCATTGGCTTTGTCAGACGCCCCGCCCCGAGGTTCCACCAATCAGCGGCACCGTGGGCCTTTAAAGCTGCGAGCTGGGGCGCAGCCCCGCAATCTCAGCAGGCGGAGGCTGTCCTGTTGCTCTTACTGCGGCTGCGCGCTCCGAGAGGCTTCTCACGGCCCCGCCGCCCCCGCCGCCAGCTGTCGCCGGGCTCAGGTAACCGAGGGCCGGGCCGGGGTCGCCGTCCAACGCGGCCCCTTCTGAGCTGTACGCTTCTCGCCCGGCGACGGGAATGGATCCCGAGGGAAACCTCGCGAGCCCGCCTCCGGAGGGGTGGTCCTGGGTGGCGGCGGGGCGCCCTCTGTCACGCGGGCTCCGTCTGGAAGCCGGGCTCGGTCTCTGAGCAGAGAGGGAAACGGAGGCGCGACCCCGAAGGGGACTTGCTCAGGTCCCAGGGCCCGAGACTGGCGGGCGGGGCCCGAGGCGGAATCTGGACCTTGGCCATCTAGGGACTCTTTGGAGCATTTGGCTTAACAGGCTGCGGGCTGCTCCTGTTTGCAGCCACTTCCCCATAGCCTGAGAGTAAAGGCTTTAATGACAAGAATACCCAAACACCCCCCCACCCCCAATTAAAACCCCGCCCAAACAAAGCACAAACGACTCCCATGGAGTCGAGCTGACTCATAGCAACCCTATGGACAGGGTGGGATTGCCCATGTGAGTTTCCCAGACCGGAACTCTTTACGGGCGCAGAAAGCCCCCTTTCTCTTGCGGAGCGGCTCGTGGTTTCGAAGTATTTACCTTGCAGTTGGCAGCCCAACGAGTAACCAGGGGTCCACAAGGACTCCTACACAAATACCCGTAGGAAACACACACACACACACACACCCTCCAGGAAGTGGACCCCCATCAATGATGGAAGTGGGTCTACTGCCCCTCCCTGTGAGAGACAAGCGCTGCCCACTCGGCTTATTCCGCACCTGTCTGTACGTGAGGGTTCTAAATTTGTAAACTCTGGGCAGGAAGGAAGCCCTGGTCGCCTAGTGGTTATGTATAGTGTTGGGCTGGTAGCCTGAAGGTCAACAGTTAGAAACCACTATCAGCCGCTCGGGAGAAAGGAGGCTTTCTGCGCCCCTGGAGAGAAGGGCAGTTCCTCCTGGTCCTGTAAGGTCACTGTGAGTAGAATTGAGTGAATGGCATTAAGGTGGGGGCAGGTGTGTGTGTGTGTTGAATGGCAATGAGGTGGGGGCAGGGTGTGTGTGCACGCTCTGCCAAACAGGCCCTGTGATGTGTAGTTAACAACTATTGGGACTTTGTTAGCTGCTTTTTCCCCATTTTTTTTTTTTTTACCATTTATTACTTATTTGGGTGAAACTTTACAGAGCAAAAATAATGTCCCATTCAACAATTTATACACATTCTGTTTCATAACGGGCAAGCCCCTCGGTGTAACAGACCACTTCCTGCTTCCTCCCTGGGGTCCCCAGATCCACTCCTCCTTTCCTGCCTCCCCAGTGTTGTGTTGGGGCAGATGCTGCCCTTCTGGTATGGGGTGGCGGGCCGTTCTGAGGAGGCCTTTGTTATATACTTGTTCTCTTTATAGCCCTGCTGATTTTTGTCTGAGCGGTGATCTCTGGGGTCGGGGATGGGTGTAGTTCTGGTTTTGAAGGGTGCCTGAGGTCCACAGGCTTAGAGGGTTCCTGAGAGGGACTAATTCATAAAGGGTTGGGGGAGGCAGGGACCAGTGTCACAGGGGCTGAGCTCCAGGAACAGGGACTTCTGGGAGGAAGTAGGAACTCACATAGAGGAGAGGATGCTGAGTGGTGTTTGGGGGAGTCGCTGGAGTGGAGGAGCGTAGGAAGGGGGTTAGCCTGGCCAGGTGTGGGAGGAACAGGGGCCCTTAGCTAGAGTAAAGGGTATCAGGCTGCGATCAGGTATCAGAAAGACAGAGGTGGGTAAGCAGGGCTGCCTGTTTGGCTCCAAGAGAGTTGGATTGTCGGGAGAGCTCTGGAAGCTGCATTTGGTCAGAGCTATCTTTTGAGCAGTGAGCAGAGTATTGGAGAGAGGCCAGCTAGAGAAGGAGGGAGGTCCTGCAATCTCCTCCCGGGAATTTCTGAGAGCTTTTAAAACCATTGTCATGGGAATGGAGAGGGCGGGAGAAAGGGTCTGAGGGCTGTTCAGGAGGATTGGATCGATCGGTGAGTCTGAGCAGAAGGAGGGTGGTTGTATTGTTAGGCGCCATTGAGTGGGTTCTGACTCATCTTGTCGTGACCCTCTGGACCACAGACACTGCCCAGTCTTGCGCCATCCTCACATTTGTTCTGAGTCCTTGGTTGCAGCCACAGTGTCAGTCCATCTTGTGAGGGTCTTCCCCTCCCCCCCCTTTACTTTCCCAAGCATGATGTCCTTCTCCGGGGACTGGCCTCTCCTGACCACATGTCCAAAGTACTATCCTCAGTGTCTGGCATCTCATATTGTTCAAGAAAACCTAGTGTTGGAGACTTAGTCTCCTGAGTCTTGGAAAGAAAAAAAAAGCCTGGCCCACTCTCTCTCTCCTTTAAATAAACTTTAGAAATTGGTTTGCGGATCATAATTCAAGTTCCAGCTTAGGATGAGGATGTTGTCAGATCCTCTGAGAATGTTGGAATAGAAATGGTTAAAGGAACATAGGGTGGGACGCAGCTTTTCTTTTTAAAAAACTGTTTTGTTGTGAATTAGACCTCTAGAATTAGATTGATTAGATTTAGAATTTTGACCATTAGATTTAGAACCATTAGATTAGAATGATTAGATTTTGAATTTGGCCATTAGATTTCAGACCATCATCTTTGCATACAACAACTTCGCAAACCTCCCCATAACCTTTTCCACCCGCATCCCCCATCACCTTCTTGTCATATTCCTTCCCCCCCCACCCAAGTTAACTAGCCTTTCTACCCTTCGCCCCCGCCTCCCCCCACCCCCAGTAGCCATTGCAGCCCATTTCTTGTGGTACAAAAGCCTTTCTCTTGATCTTTTTTCTTTGATAACACTGGTCCCACACAGTATCTGCCCTGTTGTGATTGACTCACTCCACTCGAGCATAAAAACAATACTCCAAACTTGGTGCCATCGTGTCAGTGTGGACGCACGGTGACCCTTTAGGACTGGGTAGAACTGTCCTTGTGCATCACAGCCACCCTGTGTCTTCTTGCTGTGTCCCTCCATCCTGTGTAGACTCACTGACCTCTACCAGCCACGATGCCCTTCTCTAGGGACTGGTCCCTTTCGATAGAGAGGATATGTTTTCCACTGTATAGCCAGTTGAAGGAGCACGACTTTAGTATAATGTTACCTGGGGAAAGTTAGACTGGTGATGAGGAAACATTTCTTCTCCGTGTGTTTTGGGGTGGGGGTGGGGGGAGACTGCAGCGTTACAAAGTATGAAGAGTTCTCCAAATCAATATTACAGCCAAATTTAAGAATAAAAATCTAGCCATCAAACATTTAAGAGTTCATTTTAAGAATCAAAATTTTGTTGCGTCATTTTGAACACAGATGTAAAAATGAACTCATTCAAGAGTTTATGTAACTTGTTCATAATATGCTACTGACATATTACAACTGAGGAGACCTCAAAAACACAGACAAATTTATAGATCAGGAATATTGATGGGAATATTTTTGCTCTTTCCACAGAAACCCCAAACACCAAACCCACTGTCATTGATTCAGTTCCAGCTCATAGTGACCGGTTAGGACAGCAGTTCTCAACCTGTGGGTCCCGACCCCTTTGGGGGTGAACTGACCCTTTCACAGGGGTAGCCCGATTCATAACAGTAGCAAAATTACAGTTGTGAAGTAGCAATGAAAATAATTTTATGGTTGGGGTCACCACAACATGAAGAACTGTAGGAAAGGCTCGCGGCATTGGGAAGGTTGAGAACCACTGCGGTACAGGGTTGCTGTGGGTCCTTGAGGATGAACCACTGCTTAGAGTTGGAATGGGAAGACTTTGAAGGGTGCGCTTTAATCCAGGGTCCAGTTTGCCATTGGTTTACACATTTTTCCCTTAGGGAAAAGTTAAGCTAACTTGAACAAAAGATACTTTCAGATTTGAAGTGTGAATGGTTGGATTTTGTTTCAATCTCTTTCTTTGTCAAATTAGGAAATCCAAGGATTTGCAAGCCAGTTCTCTCTCATTTCACAGATGGAGAGTTCCGAGCCCAGGTGGTGGTGGTGGTGGTGGTGGTGGTGGTGGTGGTGGTGTGGTAGTGATGGGAACTCCCTTGAGTAACTGTGTGCCCTGTGTTTCCGCTCTTGCATGTTGTCAACCAGGGACCCCTGGCTGATGGTTGCAGTGTTGGCCCCTGGAAAGCAGAGACTAGATCAGAGACCCTCGGTGCCGAAGGGTCTCTCTTCTCTGCTTCTTAGCCAGCCTTGGCTGGTTCCTCCTGCTAAACAGCCAGCCTTGGATCAGGACTGAGAGAGGGGTAGAGTTGAGGAAGTTAAGGTGTGTCCTAGGTGTCAGACCTGGGCTTGGACATCACTCTTTCTACTTCTCTGGCTCTGTGACCTTGGCCTGGTGGCTTATATTGCTGGCAACCATTCTCTAGAATGCCCTCCCAGCTCCATCCTCATTGGGTGGCTGCATTTCTTGGAGTCAGTTGGAGCCCCGGAACCGAGTCCCTGCCCTAGTCTGGCCTTGCCACCTGTGTGGGGCATTTGTAATTGGAGACGATGAAATTCGCAAAGCCTTGGCTTGACTTTGTGGTCTAGGTGCTCCTGGGGTGGACTCTGGTGTATAGACTACCCAAAACACAGCCCCCCACAGACCTCTCTGTGTAGACGGCCACAGCTTGCTGCAGGAGAATGGATGGATTCACACTCACACGGTGGGTCCGGGTGTTGAATCCCTGCTCAACCAGTCACCTTGCTCTGAGCAAAGAGCTCGAGGTGCCTTTAGGCAGTAAGCAGCCTTGAGGAGTGCTTGGGTGGCCAGGTCCAGGCTGGGGGTAGTGTCTGTGGCTTAGGGCTACCCAGATTCACACAGAAACGGCTCTTTTTGTGGTGGGAAAAGCACCCTTTGGGACTGCTCTGGGGGAGAATGACTTGGCTTTTCATTCCCGTGAAAAGTTGGTCCTGGAAACCCCCAGGGGCATTTCTCCTCCATCCTGAAGGGTCTTCCGAGTCAGACTCGATGGCAGTCCCAGCAGGGCAGCTTAGCAGCAAGTTGT